CTCCTACACCTAACCCTGAAGCCGAAACCAAGAGATAAGGCGCAAATAACTGCCAATATTCCGCTTGAGGTTTAGTTGGGTACCCTAAAACCATAATTGTACAAGGAAGCTCGAGCCATAACATTGGAAAATATGCGGAAACCCTGGAAGGACTAATCCCCTCCCCAAATATTAAACCTACCCGCCCACCGCCAATATTAAATACTCCCCATTGTGCTATTCTGAAGTATATCGGGCACATTTAATATCAATGGGTGGTGGGGGTGTTTAATACCCTAAACTCTAAGCCCTAAACCCGAATAGTAACTCCCATATACCCCCCTTTAAGGGTGGGGGGGGTTGATATTAAGGGGAAGCGATTACCCACACAAAATACAACAAATAGGCCAAACTGGCCTCGGCTTCGCGCTCGGCCTCGGCCTCAAGCGTCTGCTCACCCACCTGTGCACAAGCTCGTCTCGTCTTAGGGCTTAGGGCTTGGGGGGTTTAGGGTTTTGGGCTTTAGGTCCAGGATTTCGGCCTTAGGGATGAGGGTTGAGGGTTCAAGGCTTCGGGGCACGTGGAATCAAGCTGCATCACGATAGCATATGAGCTACTGTCCAAACTCCTAGTATCCCCCTTAATACCCCCTATAGTAGTCCCCTATATAATCCCCCCATATAACGCCCTTTAAGGAGCTTGGACTATAGCTCATATACTCCCCCCAAAAAAATGCTGTTTGTAGGTTCCTTTTTACCGGTTCCAAAACTACGCCCCGCCTTGCTTAGCACCCCTACCACATGTGCTCAGGCTGTTGGTGGCTTTGCAAATATTTTTTCTGAGCTTTTAGGAGGCTAGACGGGCCTGTAGGGGTTATGTAAGGTTATTTAAGGATATGGGTGGCTGTCAAAATTATGATCCCTTTTTGGGTACCCTAAATATTAGGTGCCGTATGATAATAGGGACCCAAGAAAGGGCCATAATTTTGACATCCACCCATATAGGCTTTAGGGCTTAAGGGTTATGCACTTGTGAAACTACCAGTGAAAGCCCGGAGCGCTGCAAGTCGAGGCCCGAAAGTGTGCCCAAATGCCCCGACTGCCTTCCCCCAAGCAAGCTGCAATCGTCCTTTAAAAGGGGATTCTATAGGGGACTACATAGGATTCCTATTATAGGGCTTATTAAGGGGGACATTAGGAGTTTAGACTACAACGCCTATAATCCCCTATAAAATCCCAGTTTCCACTTAATTTTTGATTTTCTTTTCCATTTGATTCTCCATTATTAAGGGGGATAATAGGAGTTCAGACTACAGCTCACATGACCTCTGACTCCAGAAATCAGACAGCTCAAGCTGAAGCCTCCATATCCCCAAGTCCAGAATAGCCGTATAAAAAGCATACACCAAAGCCCTCCCAGGGTTTAGGGTTTAGGGTTTTTTTTTAACCAGCGGACTTTTACGTCTGCATGAGCACTGGTCCTTGCCAAACTATCACCACCGCAGGTCTTACCCCCGCACATGTGACTTCAGAATGCACAAATCTCCACCTTAGGGCTTCATTCCTCACCAGGTGACGACGTACTGCCAGGGTCGATTGTGACTACCGTGCCCTTTCCGAACTCCCCTGGCTTCAGATCAACACGCATTCCTTCAGGAACAACAATCACCACCGGCTCAGAAGAGGAACTGGAGGACCCCATCAAAGTAGGCAAACTCGCCACGGCCGACCCCAACGACATAGCAGGCGCACTGGCCCGACTCGTCTTCTGTTTCTTCCGCTCCCACTCTTCCTTGCCGTTGCCTTCCACCTCCTTGGGCTTCGCGGTGTCATTCATAGCCACTCTCATGGCCTCATCATCTTCTGCTTGAGCTTTGTGCGCCTCTACCTGGTTCCTGACTTCTTGGTTGATCAGGTGCAGGATGGTATTTCTTGTAGCTTCACATTCTTCTTGTTCTTGACTATCCAGGCAGCACTGAGGTCCATCAGGAAGTTTGAGCATGGTGCTGATTCTCATGGACCACTTGTCCGCCCACTGGTCCACCGCATCCACCCTGTGTTCCTCCCCCTCGTCTGTGACATACGCAGCCATGACCGCCAAAGCCGTCTGCCAGCCCTCCAGGTTTAGGGGTTTAGGGTTTAGGGTTTAGGGTTTAGGGGTTTAGGGTTTAGGGGTTTAGGGGTTTAGGGTTTAGGGCTAGGTGACATTGCCTGAAAACATCGGAGGTCTATGCCAACCCTCCTTACAGGATCTTGGTAACCGCAAAGAGGATAGAGGTACTAGCATCTGGGATTGTAGAAGGGCTATAGCGGGCCATCTAGGGGGTATTATGCTTAAATACACGTAAGAAGATTTGGCAGGCTCAACCCGTACAATGAGGACCCTGTGATGGTCATAGAGCCCTAATTTAGGGGTTGGGGCTACTAAAATCCTGCTATGAAGCCCTTACAATGCAAGATGTCACCCTCTCAAGACTCTCGACCGTACATGCTCAACCACCCACGGTCCGCACTTAAAGGGTCAGGGGGACTTAGTAGGTTGACAATGGGGACTTCTAGGTTTCTTATCCCATAAGGGATGGAAGTATAGGCCTAGGTTATATTGGGGTTATAATGGGGTAATACTGGGATAATGGAAAAGAGAATGGAAACCACCATTTAATTCAGAGTTTAGGGTTTCATCCCATAGGGGATGGAAGTATACTTACTAAGTTTTCTTGTTCCGGAAGTCTCCGCCCCCACGATGGGGATAACTGGGGTGATTAGAGCTTGAAAGGTTATAGGTACAGTTACTCATTCCCCCAGCTGCGGCCTCCATACCCTGTACCTCCAGCACATTCTTGATGACCTGAGGTTGGGGGATACTTAGGGTTTAGGGTTTAGGGCTTCGGATTTAAGGTTTTGCTTTTCAGGATTGAGGGTTGAGGTGCTTTGGGGGTCTAGCTGTGTGCTGTAAATGAAGGTGAGGTTGGGGGGTGTCGCGGCTCCTGGCGGCAGCGGCTCCAAACTCCAGAGTTCGGGTAAAGGGTTTAGTGGTAGATATTCGGGCTTCTACACTAAAGAACCTATACATCACTTTCTGTTTTCCCTTTTGCCATTGCATGCCCCATACTTTTTGCACTTGATTCTCCATTATAGAGAGTTGCTCAGGCTTCCACACCCTATACCCTAAATGGTCGTACTTTCACATTTAAACTCTGCGTCCATAACATATTCACCATCCCTATCGAGCCCTAGACTTGGGCCCCCTCATGTTTGGGAGGGGGGGGGCTTTTGAGTTTGGGGTTTAAGGTACTTAAGGGGAGTGGGGAAGTGAATATAAGGACAATCCTAGGGGGCAACATAGCCAAGATTGCATGGATCCACTCCACCTCAAGCACCAGTAGCTTACTGGTGGTTGGTAGGGAATACGGGAACACGTTGTATAGGGATTATATGGAAAGGTTATATTCCTGTACTCCTTACTACCCACAAGTAAGGTAAGCCCTATGCCCTAAACCTCCAAACCCTAAACCCTAAACCTCTAAACCTTAAACCCTAAACCTTATAACCTAAACCTCTAAACCTTAAACCCTAAACCTTAAACCCTAAACCTCTAAACCTTAAACCCTAAACCTCTAAACCTTAAACCCTAAACCCTAACGGTGGCTGAGGGTTGTGTCTTCTGCGGAGCCCTGAGCTCCGGACCCATTCTACAGCCTCACGGTCCTCCTTCGTCAAGATGTACCTGAGTAGGGTTTAACTTCTTTTTCTTCTTTTTCTTGGTGCACTTCTCGATTTGTGCGTTTCTAGGGTTTAGATTTAGGGTTTAGTGGTACCATCGTATCCCCAAATTAAATACTACTCACCTGCGGCCAAGCATTCTCTCTTAGAAGAGAACCATCTTAGCAACAATCAAAATTTGGAACGCGTAGTAATATGCGCACAGGAGCCGCGGATGCAAGGACGTCGGAGAAGCCCACTCTTCTATACTATTACTACTACTATTACTATTACTATTACTATTACTGTTACTATTACTATTACTATTACTATTTTTTTCTGTTACTATTACTATTACTACTATTACCTTCTGTTGCCTTTGGGGAACCTGGCTTCATGAGTAGTCTCTTCGCCCCACGATATCAAAGAGGCCCTCATTTTTTTGCGCGTGGCGTTCACGGCCTGAATCCTTTAGGACATCTCCAGGCTATAATCTCCGCTCAGGGTATCCGACATAAGGACCCCAACATCCTTTCGTCCTGACTTTCAGTAGTTGCTAGTGTTGGGCACTCACTTCAGGGTGTGACTCCATCTCTAACGGCGTCGGGTGCCCTTGCACAGGTTGAGTCAGGCCCAGTCAGACAGCAGAACTTCTACGACATGCAACAAGACTATAGCTCGTCCACTGTCCCTCCCGGGTAGCAGAGGTCAGAAGAGCTCATAGGGTTTAGGGTTTAGGGTTGGCCATCTGAACAAAACCCTGTACCCATGACGAAACTGCACAGCCCACACACCTATCCAGAACAAGCCCACCTACCAAGCCCATCAAAAATTCGATCAACCATAGTGTCTAAGGGGATGGTTGCGTATAACAATGGCCGTAGAGTCAGTCCGTCATTACCACTACTTGGAGGGTCATGGGGGACTTCATAAGCATACGTATGACTCTCATAAGGCCACTTAATAATAGCCCCAGTTATCCCCAATATTAACCTACTTACTAAGCTCCCCTGACCCTGCAAGTACTACTTTAGGTAGGACAAATAGAACCAAAAAGATACAGCAATGCAATCACACCCTATATTGGAGACTGTCGTATTCCTGGTCTTCAAGAAAAACTTGGGTATCTTCGAAACTGGGGGTCCAAAGGCCACAATACTAGAATCCTGATATGAGCCACATTCTAAACTCCTAGTATCCGCCTTCATAAGCCCTATAGTAGTCCCCTATGGAATCCCATATATAAGCCTCCCTTTGGCACATATGAGCTATAGTCTAAACAACTAGTCTCCCCTTGAATATCCCCTGTAGTAGTCCCCCCTATAATCCCCCATATGACCCCTTGAAGGAGTTTAAACTATACCTCATATAGGAACCCCCAACCTCCTCTTCAACTATGCCCAGGCACTTGGTGTATTCGTCCGCACGTCCTTGGACAATCTGGAGGAGGCCTCGTGGCACTGGCACCTTGTCGAGAACCTTGAAGTCGATTGGCTCCTTGAACACCTGCAGATGGTTTAGGGGTTTAGGGGTTTAGGGGTTTAGGGGTTTAGGGGTTTAGGGTTTAGGGTTTAGGGGTTTCGGGGTTTGGGGTTTAGGGTTTAGGTTAGGGGTTCTAGATTTAAGGCTTTCGGGGGGGGGAGTAAAGTTCTTAAGGCTAAGAAAGGCATGCTGTGGACGCTTGTCTGGCTGACTATTCCTGAATGGCTTAGGGTTAGCCGTTTTAAAGGTCAGGTTCTTTAAGTTAGGGGCTTAGGGCCTAGGGCTTGTGATTACGGGTCAGGGTTTTGGGCAGCGCGTTGAGATTCAGGAGTTCTAGGCCTCGGGGGTTTAGTGGTGCTGGTATTGCAAAACTTTCAACTCAGTATCCCTCCAGGCCATGAGCAGTGCGCAAGGTAAAGGCCTGAATACTGAATAGGTACGGAGAATAATGTTCCAAGAAACGCTTAGAAGAACGGTATGCGTGCTTTTTACACCAGAAAGCAAACTAAGTAGATAGAACATGGCTTCGGGTAGGTTATCATAAGATCCTCATATACCCCATATTCTATCTACTTAATTAAGAGGGACTATAACCCAATATATACCCCATTATAGTATTTCCATTATCCCCATATAATCCCAATGATGTACCCCATATTCGAGACGATATTCAGGGGCCCCTGCGCCTCGATACAGTCCACAATCTCCGGAAGCTGGAGGAGTGCGTACTTCTCCTTGGCGACTATCCAGGCATTAAGGCTTTGAGTTTTTAATCCATCCCTTATCACTAGACGTGCCAACTCCCTAGTAATGAATGCTCCCGAGAATATATGGATGGATACTCTAATGGGAGTATTTAATGTTCCGGGGGGCGGTCATAACTGAAGGCAGAGGATTATTGCAGGGTCTGCGGCAAGGGCTAGGTTGTTGACTGCCACAGGGGCTTTAGCCTTGGGGATTTAAGGTTTGGGCTTTTGGGTTCAGGTATTTGAGGCTAGGCAGTCTGGGGTAAGGGTTCAAGGATTTAGGGTTCAGGGCTTAGAGTCTTTGGGATTGTCTTCCAAGGTTTGGGTTGCGCTTCTGCGTGTGTCATAGCCCATGTCAGAAATCCTATTGTTGATACTAAAATCCTGCATGACCTTAGTATACTATGGTACAATAATTACCCTGACGCTCTTAAGTTAAGTGAGCAGTCACCTTGACGAAGCTCAGGTTCGGTCGTTGAAGAAGAATCACAGAGCTAGACTTTAGAGTTTGCATTTCCCAAAGCCAACATCCAAAAACAACCCTACACCCTAAATACGGAAACTCCAACACCCTAGAGCAATCCAAGCAGCCATGAGGGTGTTCCAGGCGTTCTTTCGCCAGATGTTGGAAAGGTTCTGTGTCTGCAACACATTGAACCTCCACTGCGCTAGCGTCAGGGATGCTACTGCATCTGAAAGCATCTCGGGAAGAGTTGTAAGAGTAATCACAAGACTAAACCTAATAACATCGTATATGTTTGCCACAGAGCCGCCGCAAAGGCCACCACCACCACCACCACAAACACCACCAAAACCAAAACCACCACTGGTGCCGACACTAGCTCTACCAGTGCCACGACACCCTTCACTGCCGTGGGTAGGCATTGTACCTGTGCTATACATACTGGCCATTCCTTCTACAGCGCCACACATGATCTCTGAATCCGAGGCACTGTAGCCGGTCCGAGAGCATCGAGTTCAGCACCAACCAACCACAAACATCGCCCAGCATGGACTCCTCGCAGGAATCAATGATGAGCAGATCTGCGTACATAACCCAAACCCTACAATAAGGAGCCTATGACTGGAGCATCATATATCTCCTACAGGATCTCACTATAGGGGTTTGTGTTAACCCAGCTCCCCTTTTCATCTGAAGAGCCGCGAGGCTGGATGAATGTTTCAAGAGTTCATGTGGACTTCACCGGCTTTATATGGAGACCATATACAGGACCCGATCTTTCGAGAGCTACAAAGGACTCCTCGCGGAGTATTGTGTCATGAAGGCTCCCAACCCGCAGAAGCTTTACAAGGCTTCTACGCAGATGTTATAGATACAACTGTGGGTTGCCCAAAATTAGGCGCACCAATTTTCGGGCACCTATATTGAAATAAGGATTAGAATATCTGGCGTCTACATTGGGTTTTCCCTAGTTTGGGAAATTACCAACTGGGGATGATCTTGAACAAGAAGCCCCCTGCACTCCTACTGTGTTTTTACCTACAGGCTTTTGTCCATCTTGGCAGGAACTCCTCGTTTAGACTTAAACCCTAAGCCCCAACCCGTGAGTCCTAAGCCCTAAGCCCCAACCTCCCAAATCCACCCCCACAACCTTACATGTAGTAGCTTCCGTTTCATTGTCCATTCCGGTTCTGAGTTGAGTCTCTCTTGTTCCCTGCTCAAGCCCTAACCCCTAAACCCTAACCCCCAAACCCTCAAAAAAAACACTCAAAAACCCTAAGCCCCAAACCCTCAAAAACCCTAAGCAACCCTGCTCCTGCGTGCATACCGGCTTTCCTGAGTTGGCCTGAAGTATCTGCTTGCTGATCAACTCCCGCACCTGTCAGTGGGTTATATAGGGATAATGGAAAAATGGAAACTACTATGTTATAATAGGGTATGTATTGGGGTTATGTCGGGGTTATATTGAGTGGTGTTTTTTTGGTTGAACCTAGTAAGATTCAATTCCTTATACAAACTACTATACACCAAAAGGAGGATATAATCTTACTCTATCTTGGGAACCATAGTATTCCGAAATAAAATACTACTCACATAGGGGTTCAGACAACTGATGCCAAGTTGAGAGCTCTTGTGAAACGACGTGGGGCTCGATGGGAGGATCTACAAACCCTTCAAAGAACTGAGTAACTGGTGAGAACAATTCCGAAACTTTAAAATCCCCTATATACCCCATCGAACCATTTATAACCCCATATAGTAACCCAATCTATGATAGTTTCCTAAAATGGGGGGACCCGAAATTGCCAAAACCCTATACCCTAAAACCCCTAAACCTGAAACCCCGTAGAAACACAAAAAATCCTAAAAATCACTAAAAATCCCTAAAAATCCCTAAGACCCCTAAAAGCCCCGCCTCGGGGATGATGAGGATCCTTAGTTTCTGGCCCTTGCCGATGCCGCGGAGCCGGTAGGCCCCTTGGGCGTAGTCTCGGAAGACCATGTCCTGCTCGCTTTGGTTTTGGGTTTAGGATATTTGGGGAGTTGGGGGTTCCATTTGGGGAATATGGCGGTTTCCCAAAATAGGGGTTTTGGGCAAAGTTCAGGGTTTGGGATTTAAGGTCTTGGGCGTTTAGGACCCAATGGCTTCCGCCAAAACGGAAGGGGCAGACACCCCTTCGAAGCAGCACGCTTCCCTTTTCGCATTATGTCAAAACCCCAGTGCGCACGCCATACTATCATGCCCTTACTTGTGAAGTGAAGGCATATAGAAGGCATCGCATGGACATGTTCCTGGGGCGTTCTGAAGCAAAACCCGGTTACCGCGACGAATGATACAGATATAGGATATAGGTTTAGGGAATGATCCGTATTCGCTGGAATTAAACGCATGGCACCAACCCATTTGGTCCCTGCATGACTTACATGACCGTGAAGCCCTCGAATCCTGCCTTGCCCAGCGTGATGGCGCCCACGCAGTCCCGCTTATGCTGAATGTCCATACCGGTGGTATGGACCTGGCCGCTCTGCTACGAGGAGGTCTTCAAGTTTCATAACACAATGGATGAAGGATGCACGGCGTCAACGCGGCGACATCGGATGAATGGCAAACAATATCCGACAAGATCCTGAGAACAAAAGCTTGTTGAGATCCATCTTTGTATGGGCCTCCTATAATTTTGCAGCTCAATTCAAATCCCACCTGGTCATAGAAGGCGAAACGGCTTGTTGCTGGGATGCCGCAATCTGCCAAGTTCAGCACCTCAGGCATGTGGAGGATCTGCAGGCCCCGCACTTCCTCTAAGACCCTAAGCTTCCTATCCACGTGAAGGCACGGTTGGGTCAGAACGGATTGCCGATTTGTCAGGGAAGTTTTTGAGTATGGGAGTTTAGGGTCCGTGTTTTGGTGGCCTGCGCTTGACACGGAACTCCTGGAGTTGCAGAGGAGTTTGAACATCCGATTTGGGCGGGTGCCGGGACGCTGGCGGGAAGGGCAGTGCCGTTAGGCTATCCCATCCCTCTCTGACCTCAATAAATCTGCCACGCTTCCCAAATCTGGGGTATTTACGAGCGGCCCTTAAAGTCGACTAGATGGGTCCTGCACGTAGATCATACCTGTCATCCCAATTGCCTGCAGACTAGTAGTACCACCTACTCCCTAGGTGAGTGCAATCCAAGTCCCCCGGGTCAATCCGAGAAATTGAAGCATTGACATAAGAAATGATGACAGCAGTGGAGTTTTGCGTTGACATCAGGAATGATGCCGGCAGTATGAAATTCATCAAAAGGGGGGTGATGATCATCAGAGCTACTTGCAGAATCTCGAGCTCCCCCCCAAAAAAAAAATCACAAAGCATGCAAAAACATGAGACAATACCTTCCTCAAAACGAGCTGTACAAAACCACTGTCCATGAAAAGAGGTTACAAGTACCCACCATAAGGACTGATGTAGAAATTTCTATTCTCTTTTCATTCAATTCTGCATTCTTGGGGTAATATCCGTTATGCAACCCCAACTTAACCCCATTGACCACTATATAACCCCTATATCTCCCTCTGTACCCCTATAGAATCCAAAGACAGCCCTAGTATGGGGCGGGGAAGGGCAAACCCTAAACCCTCCTCCCTAAACTACCCTAAGCGCTGAACCCTAAACCCCTAAACCCTAAGCTCTAAACCCTAAACCCTAAACACCAAACATCCCCAAACGCTAGGGTTGGGCAATCACCAGCGACGGGCCTCCTGGGTCGTCAATATCCCCTATGCAACCCCTATAGAGCCCTATAGACCCCTATATACCCCTGTACGCCCCCTATACATCCCTTTGTACTCTAAACCCTAAACCCTAAACCCTGGTAGTCATCAGAGAGTGGCCTCCTGAGTCTGCCTCAACAGGATCTTCTTGGAGCCCTCATCGTCGATGAAGACCACACCCTCACGCTTCAAGGCTTGGGGCATTGGGTTTAGGGTTGATGGTCTAGGGTCTAGTGTTAAGGGTTTAGAGGAGGGCCCACTGGGAATTTCATAGGCAGCAATTAGCTTGAGGCTTAGGGATGCCAATGCAGCAGTTTAGAAGACAAATAATCAGACTCACGCGGGGTCGGCCTCATTGTCATATGTCAAGCTCGTTTGGCATCCAACGAGGATCCCCCTACCCTACGCATCTGGCTCGCCCCTGGGCCCTTGCCCGAATTCTGCTATCTCTATGGAACCCTCTACGCCACTTTAAAGGCTTCTGCATTTAAACCCGAAACCCTAAACTCTTTCTTGGGGTAATGTCCCAAACCCTGAGCCCCAGGACCCCTGCCTGCTCTCTATGAAACCAAGCCCTAAAGCCTCCCTAAACCCAAAACCATATTAGATCCCAAGAGAACCCCCTATATCCCCCATAAAGGAATCTGCATCCTAAACCCTCAACCCTAAACGGTAAAGCCTAAAGCCTACCCTGAGCCCTAAACCCTAAATCCTAAGCCCTAAATCCTGAAAACTAAATCCTAAACCCTCAATCCTAAACCCTCAATCCTAAACCCTAAACAGCCCTCAACCCTAAACCCTAAGCTCTTCAACCGGTCCTGGAAGCTGCTGGGCAGTGTGGGATGCGGTACTGTGGCGTTGTCCAGGCCTAGGAGGTACACCGCCACATCCTGGCGAAGAATGGGTTTAAGCTGGCCATTGGCTAGCTGGGAATGAAGGAGTCGAAAAGAAAATAGGCACTACTTTAGGGTTTAGGGTTTAGGGTGGGGATGAAGGAATGGAAACGAAGGTGGAAACTACGATAATGGGTTATATAGAGACTACTATCAGGATCCATTCCCTCATTCCTAGCTAACCAAAAGTCAGTTAAGTGGTTAGGGACAAAGGCTTATGCACTGTATACACACACACATGTGTAGAGATATATATATATATGGGGGCTCCCCAAAATTAGGGGTATATAACTTTCGGCAGCCCAATGATAAGGATTATAGTATGTGGGGGCTATGCAGGGGTCCCCTGTTTATGGAATATATGTATATATATATATGCTTGCGGTGCGGATGTGGGTTGCGGCTTGGGCAGACTCGTCCTTGTGAAGGAAGCGTTAGTGGCTGACATTCGGGTTTTGAAGGGTTCAAAGTTCAAAGTGTGTCGGGGCATGAGGTCCAAGATACCTGAACCCTAAACCCTAAACCCTAAGCCCCAAGCCCTAAGCCCATGCCTGGCCCACCCTCCCCTAAAGCCTAAAACTTAAATCGCGTCTGTCACTCTGAACTTTTTTTAGGATGCCCCCACCTGGGGTCCAAGGGGGACTTATACCTATAACCCCTATAAGCCATACACTAACCCCAGTTTTCCCCGGTATTAACCTGCTTACAGCTGCTTACTGAATGAACTGCAAGCAGAGCCCAAGCACTATAACGCGGTTTAGGGTTGAAGGCTTAAAAACAACAACTAGTTTGCCAATCCATCATCACCAGCAACAAAGTCAACTCTCAGGCATTCTAGCTCCCGAAGGAAATCAACAATCCGTCTATCTGAGAACTTTCGAGACTGGCACCCCTATAATTATTAGGGTTTAGGGTCTCAACTCCTTGTATCTCCCTTAATAACCCCTGGTCGTCTAGTCGTCCTCTACATAATCCCCTATAAAGCCCCTTTTAGGAGTTTAGACTATATCTCATATAGGGGCCCCCTATTTTCTTATGGCAACCTCCACTTGGGCATATAGAAAGGAGGCGTTCGCTTCAGAAATGGACAAGTCCCTGGAGCCGTGAGCCCACACCCTGTCCTTGTTTGAAAGGCCTGTGATGAGGGCACCCGTGTCCTAAGCCGCTCAGGGTTTAGGGTTTGGTGTTGAGGGCTTTGGAGGGTCAACTTTATTCCAGGGTGCTTTAAGTAGGCAATGCAGGAATAGGTTATGGGGACTGCTGGCTACTACAGGAGCTAATGCCAGCACTACTACAGGGATCCACGCTTTCACTCCCTACTAGGCACCAGAGAGCTTGACACTTTCCATGAGGCTTTTAATGCTGGAACACAACTTCCCAGCCCGACAGAAGCTGGGACCCAGCATTCATCAAAGGTGTTTCACATGGAACCCTCAAACTGGGCTGCTGGTAAGGAACTCAGATTAAGTCACGATATTCTGGGTATGTCGTAAATGATAGGGTTTCCATATTTTAGGAACTTTATGTAACTTCCTGAATAGCAACCCGGCAAAGCCCACTGAAATTTACCCCCCAGCGTCGATGAGGGCGTGGAAGCCGCCCACGGCGATGCGGTCCAAAAGACTTGTCACCGTCCAGTCAGCACCAAAGACCTGGCTTCCAGCTGGGAAACTTTGCCTAAGCCCTAAACCCTAAACACTAAATCCTAAACCCTAAACCCTAAACCCTAAACCCTAAAACCCTAAACCCTAAACCCTAAAAACCCTAAACCCTAAACACTAAATCCTGTGACGTAAGCAGCTATTTAGGAAGGGATCCTGTTGCCTGGGCTTCGGAAATCGAGCCGGAATCCTACATCCTGTTAAGATGAAGTGGGAGTTTCCCAAAATTAGGGGTACCTTTTGGGGGTTCTTTATAATAAGGATTATAGTATTGTGGGGTCCATATTGGGGTCTCCTTATTTAGGGAAACTACCAAATCTTGACAGGAAATGCAAGAGGATTATGACCACCTTTCTGTGTCGGGAGACAAGCATCTCCATGATGTCAATATAGGACTGACCATGACTTCCGTTGCACCACAAGACACGAGGCTCTTAAGGAGAGACACGGAGAAGGTTAGTCACAGCATCATCTATGCATTGATACCATTAGTACCCCTTCAAGACCGTAAACCTTACCTTTGGTTAGCTAGGAACGAATGAATGAATGAATGAATGAATGAATGAATGAATGAACGGATCCTTCTAGTAGTTCCTATATAACATATAACTCACTATAGTAGTTTCCATTTTCTTTGCCATTCCTTCATTCCCAGCTAACCAAAGGTAAGAAACAGCTGCCTCGAAGGAAACCACCTCTGGATTCGTCAGTGTGTGGACGATGCTGCCCTCGCTTCCTCGGCTCACGGAGAACGAACATACAGGGAGGTAGCTGACATGCAGAACCCCTAAGAGATTCCTTGATCCCTCTTGGCGCTTTGTAGGGCACAGGGTATCATAGGGATATACAGTGATAGAAAGTTTCCCTGTGAAATCCGCGAAGTCATCCCCGCGCGCAAATGGGTGAGAGGTTTTAGTTCGAACGTGGAATATGCATAATTGCGGCGACCTCATGATCTGCTTATTCAGGTGTCGAGGGTGATGACAAACCCTAGCGTAACTTAGCGGCTCGAGAACCATTAAATCTGCAAGCACCTTTCTAAACCCAAACCCCACATGCTGAACCCCAAACCCGACCTGTAACCGCAACTACGTACACTCTAGTAGTTACCGCCTGATTAACGGGTACAACCCATGAAACTGTAGGTAATTGGGGTTCTAGGTGCCGTAGCAGTTGCAGTGTTATCTTCCATACTTTTCCTTTTGGGTCTCCAGTATGCCCCAAACTCAAGGCTTACGCCGCCCACCTGCGATGGTGGGCGCTTTTGCCCTTGACCCTCCATGGCGAAAGGCCGACCCAGACCGATCATCTGCCTTTCCGCTGTAGGAGGCCTGGGCCTTGGGAGGCCTCTGTGTCGACCCGGGAGGCCCGGCTGGCAAAAAAGGCCAGTCGTAGAAGCTACTACACCTATGCCTGGTAGAAATACAAAGGTTTATATAGTAATATAGTATATGAAGGTATATTGGGGTTAATATAAGGTAATACAAGGGTTATATTGGGATAATGGAAAAGAAAATGGAAACTACTATTAAGGGGTCCAGGCTTGGGGCTGGGGCTTATGTTGTAGTGCGGCTGGCCCCTCGCATGGACCAAGACGCAGGCTTGCATAAGACCTTCTCAGCAAGACCCTCGGCTGGAGGTTGACGGGACCATCAAGACTTCAGGATCTCTTCAACAATGACAGCATGGATGCTGCTAATAAGAGTTGACTAAGATGAGCCAAATTTAGTTTAGGTCCTAAGCCCTAGAAGGAATAGGTTTGGGTGGTTTGGCATCGGGTGGGCAAACGTGTTAGATGACAGTCGGGCCATAGCAGCATGTCGCACAGCACGATGCATTCAAAGCGACTCTGTGCCATGACAATCTCTGCTAGCTGAACACTGGAAAAACCCTAAAAAAGCCTAGCCCCCTGTATAACTTCTATGTCACCACTATATGGACCCAGCTTCCAGGCTCGAAGTCGCAGGAACCAAGCTCCCTGGGCATTAGATCTGAAGGCGTCCCGCTGAAGCCGATGCGCTCCTTGCACGGTGAGGGAGGTTGAGGCCCGGTCAGGATTCAGGCGTGGGGCTTCATGGAAGTCTTGAGGGCCGGCAAAGAACGTGTAAGGGCTGATAGCTGGGGGTTCTAGCTACCAGCACCACTAAAACCACCACTCAACTGGGCTCCTTGAAGAGGAGGGCACCTCCGAGATCCTGACCCGAGGACATCAGCTTCACCTGGCAAGTTGTGCTTGAGGTCGAGGGTTTGAATGCAGGGTCTGGGTTTGCATTTAGGGCGTTGATCTGGGGCTTAGAATTAAATAGGGTTGAAGGGCTGAAGCTTTCGGGTCAGAGCGGCTTCAGGAGAAATATGCCACCTTGAGCAGAGCCAAAATTGCATGCGTATATATTAACAGACACACTTTCATATACGTATATATATATATATGTTGCATTTGCATTTATTATACATGTATATACGCTCGCCCTGATTGAACCGAACCCCTACTCCGACCCTCGCCAACGAGCGACTGCAATTGGCAACTGGTAGCAGGCAGGGCACAGCTTACCCTATGCTGGGATCTCTTCTGGCCCGGCAAAAACCTTATCATCTTTCAAACCAGAGACCTGTGAAAATCAAAGCACACAGACCTCTGCTGAAAAGTCATCTGCCTTTTCTGTCCGTGGGCAAAGTAAACATACTGGCCATGCAGACACACCCTAAACCCAAAAGCCATACAGGTCATCGTCCTAAACCCATACTCACATAAGGTCAGAAACATGAAAAGCCACTTAAAAGCCCACCCTCACAGTCCCGCCCCAATCCTCATACATCCCTCCAGTGGTCAAACCTTAACCCCTGAACTCTATGTACCATAAAGACCCATATAGAACTCCTGGATACTCTATTCAACACCCATGCACAATCTCGGAAATAAAAGCCCCAGCACCTCCTGGAAGCGCAGGTGCTCTGGGAATACGATCGACTCGAGGTACCAAGCAACCACCTGCCATAGGATTTGGGGTTTGGGGGGGTTGGTAGACTTTGAGATTTGGAGTTGAAGGTTTTGAGTTCGAAGATTTCAGGGCTTTCGGTGCAAAGTTTGGGGTTGGGTTTGGGGTCAAGGTTTAGGAGCTGCCGAGGTAGGGTTAAGGATTTGGGGTTAGAAAGGTCAGGATTTACGCAGGTTTCAGGCAAGTCGAGCAAAGAGCAAACAGAGTGGTTTACGAAGGAGTGAAGGGCTACTCCTACTTTCGGTGATTTGCTATTCTGTAACCATTTCTCAAATGGCACTCAACATACCAGGGTTTGACAGTGGATCCTCAGCAAAGACTACAATTTGGAAAACCCTATCCCTTGCGTCCTAAAATACATATGGGCCCTTGAGCCCCTTTTGCACAAAGCTGCCTGGGCAAGTGGCCTTCATGGAGCAGAAAAAACTATCTGGTAGCTATGATCCTGATTCCGGTATAAGGGGGTACGGTTGAGATGCCGCAGATAGATGCAAAGTTCTCCTCATTGAAATACATAGGACACAAGACTCTGGGAAGACAAAGACTGCAAGGCTATTAGCTCCCTAAAAAGCCAGTCTCGGAATGACCGTCCCGGCCTCTAGAGCTACTGAGTATATGTGTCTACAGGGCCATACAACCCTAGACCCTGCATCCAAGCCTGTTGCCCGCATTAGAAATGTACACTCATTTTTCGGAGAGCCCCCAACCTGGCCATTCTTCCTGAGAAGCTTGAAGAGTTCATTCCTGGGCTGATACGTGTGGACAGCCTCTGAAACATACAGAGCTTACAGGTAGAGCACATCTTGAGAAGCTCCCACTCAATTCGTCCAAACGAATCTGGGGAGCTGCTGTCTGGGACTTTCTACTTTATCCAGTGGAGCAGTGGTGACCGTACTTGGTGCAAAATGAAATAAGATTATGTCCTCCTCCAATCCCTGAAAATTGCTACCGCTACGCTCTTTTGGGAGCGTATCAAAAAATGAGGGTCTCTGCATACCTCTTCAAAACCCCATCATATGAGAACCTGGAAAACTTACCAAACATCCGAGGCTCATCTGTCTGCGATTGCTCCGCTCCAGCATGTGCAGAGGAAGGATGCGGACCTGCGTCTGCGGCTTCGAGGTTGAAGATCCGGGTTTCCGGTCCCACCTGTATCCCCATTTGCCTACAGCTTAGCAGTGGTGACCCCTGACTAGTAGTTGTAACCAGGTAACTGGAGTTACAGTTAGGGTTTAGGAGCAAAGGGCCTAGTTTTTGGCATTCCGGAGGATTTAGCGGTTCAGGACTTGGACACGGCCAAGGAAATTGCTCAGCAAGCCCTTGCCGTGCATTTTACATGCAGAAGCACTGTGGCAAGACAGCACTCAAGGACCCTAGCTTTGCATTGCGTGCAATATTCCCACAACTATCATGTGTAAACTTTCGGAGCCCGGCCCACATCCTGAATGACCATGGGCTAAAGATCTCTCTGCCATTGCTGCAGAAACCTTGGAGAAATCAGACCCGTTATCGATCGTCACTCAGAGTAGCCACTTGATGGTGACAGCTGCGTCCAGAGTAGCAGCAAGAATGACGACGTCAACACAGACAACAAATATCGTTTCGCAATTGGGGAATTAAGAAGAAAAGCAGCCACAAGAATGATGCTGCTCTTTCTTTGAAGTGAAGGCGGTAGCAATGAGAACCTGATTTCTCAGAGTCAGGGTCCCGCTGAATGCGTGATAACTTACCCAATTCTGTTTCTTGTAGAGACCTAATCATAACAGCAGCAGCACCAGGAGCAACAGCGACAGCAGCAGCTAAAGCGACAGCCACAAGGACAAGATGTGCTAGCGGTCAAAAACATTCTGTTGGCCTTCTTCTCGCGCACCTCAGCCGCCCTTGCTGCGGCAAGCTCTTCGGGTGTCAGATCCTCCACATCACAAATAACTTTGCAGGTTGGTTACATGGCAGTGTCCCGAAAATAGGGAACCACGTTGTAGACCCCCAAATAGTGTATACTGACCCTCAAACATGGTACCCCCAATTTCGGGAAACCACCATATGCATGTGGTGTGGCGGGTCTGCATATGAAACGACACATTGCGTGGGGATGGATGCTTTGAGGATGATGCCAGGACGAAATACAGATTGTACATATACGGATGGTGTATGATATACATGGTTCATCTTAATTTCTGGTGCTCGATTTTCATGTTGTAGGGAGCCCTGACATAGGGGCGACTCTCCATACAATCGCCTAAACCTCTTGGAGTCCAGAAGCAAAAACCTGCATAGCCCAGGCCAAGCCCCAATGACCCAGAACTCTTCGAGACAATTAATTACTGGTGGCTCGTGGGGGAAAAGGGAATATGTGATACAGGGATGATATAGGGGTTATATCATATTCCCTTATTCCCAGCTAACCACCGGCAGGATTAGGCCTGCAGTTCTTGGCGCCGGGTTGCCAAGACCCCACCCGAGCCTCGCACGATGCCGGATAGCAAGCTTGTTATTGTCGAGGTCAGAACTTTCGAATTACGTGACGAGAGGATGATCTAGAAGTTCCTATGTTCAGGACTGTGGCAAATTCTTGCCCACCTGGCATTGTTTGGGAATGTTCAGGATTCAGTTTGGGTGTGTACAGGGTGCCAGATTCCTGAAAGCTAAAGAACACCAACACTGCGCTAATACCTGACTAAACCTTGAAATGCCACACCCCCCAAACCACCAGACTCCTCAGCTTTATCAGGTAAAAGGTGGTGCGGCGGGGTAGGAGGGAGTTCTTCCATGCTTTGTTTCCATCAGCGACCCTCTCCGTGGGCGTTGGGTGTCAAGCCTTCGAGCTGAGGACCCCACACTCTGAACGGTTCCCATAAACTCCTTCGGTATACCCTGCGTCCTGCAGCCCCACGCCCTGAACCCCGAACACTGGACCGTAAAACCCACATCGACATACCGCTGTCTATCCCTGTAAATCTGTCAGTTTCCATTTCATTTTCCGTTTTAAAGCCTTCAACCCAGCGCTTGAAGAGCATGGCTGTGGGTCGCTCCGCCGCCACACCAGGCTCGGACTCCAGGTTCGCCACCTGAGCTCGGTAACCCTCAACCATAATGTGTAAACGGTAGCCTGGGTCTTTAGAGCTTAGGGCATCGGTCGTGGGGAAGCTCAGGGACCAGGACAGAGGGTTTGTGTAAAGTTTTCGTTAGGTCTTGTTCAGGCTGATAAGGGTTCTTGGGTTCGGTATGGGTGGCCTCTAAAAACACAGGAATACCAGGAGTTTGTGTCATTCACCCTCTCCTTCCAGGGGCTTGTAAAGGGGTTTGTAAGGGCACTCCAGTATTTGTCTTGGATGATGACATTCGGCCTTAGGATGAGCTCGCGGAGCGTGGGACAGGTTCTTCCTCACTAGCCCCAAGCATTCTTTAGCTTGAGCCTCCAATTTCCTGGCTATCATTGAGAACCATCAGGACAACCCATCAGAATGCGCTCTTGCTTTCGCGTATGCTTGAAAGACTGCTTCATGCCATCAAAAGCCTTCAAGAAAAGTACACACGAGTTGGTGCCCCGTGTCGGGATGGAACTGCCCACAAAGTGTGACAGTTGACGATTCAAACTCAAGCTTACAAAGCCTGACATCACCTAATTGGGCCCGTGACGTCTTTGGGATATGCCACCATGGCAGTGGTTCGAGCAGTTCAGACAATCATGCACAGTGGGGAGGACCTTCCTAGATCTGGATGCGTCTTAACCTCAAGCCCTCTTCTCACCAGTCCTAGATGACTCACCCTAGTTCCCGTGCGCTCCTCTACTGAAATTCTGGGCCCCTTACCAGTAGGTCCAAGACGGCGTCAAAGTCGGACATCCTGAGGCCCTCGTAGCGGAAGCTGAGCAAAGTGAGGCCGATGGTGATATCCGGGTGGGCGAATTCTGAAGACCTTATGCCAGCCACAATCACGGCCAATGATTGCTAAACTGATCTGAAGTAGCCTCTTTTGTGCTTGTACTACTGCATGCAGAGGACACCGGTACACACCCATATTTAGGCATTTGAAATCTCAGTTCAGCTGTTCCAGTACACATTCCTGTGCATGCAGCTAAGAGTCGGAGATGGCACGTCCTGCATTGGCGGTGCTGGAACACAACTATTCAATTTTCTGCGCTGCACTCGTAGCTGTTCAACGCGTACACGCTGGCGCAAGTTGCCGGCGTCACACAAGTGCAAGGGCACCCTAAAGGAACTGCGAGAACCTGGTTCCTTGCACCCGAAAAACTTGAAGCCAAGACAAGCTTGGCAAGGTTTAATCGCTCGCAAACCCTAGAAAATATCCCGTTTCGCATACAGGGTATGGGACGGCTGCGCAGCCTTGTCTCGCGAAAGTCTGCGAGTCTGCAAAACTGCACAGGGCGCCAAAACGGTGTTCTGTAGTTGGCACTGGCACCCTGGAGCAAGCCTACACCCGTAAGCCTAGGCCACCGTCGAAGCTAAACCCTGAGCCATCGGAGGAATCCAACAGTCCGGAACCGAAATTTTGCGCACATGAAATGGGGCCCCTGAAACTAAGCCCCTGGAGGTCCAATTCTCCCAGAAAACTACACATGAAGCAGGGTGTACTTTCTTTTGCTACTGCTGACATGCCCTACGACGAAACCGCTGAGCGTTCAATCCTTCGTGGCTTGTTCCCTCACCCTAAACTTACCCTTTGCTGGCCTTGCCGATAAAGGGAATGGACAGCTTGGCGCGCGTCATCGGCATGCCCGGCTGCTTGATCAGCGCCTGCTCCACCTGAAACGGGGTTACGGGGTCTATAGGGTTTAGGATTATAAGGTTTAGGATTCTGGCACGCCCTTTTCCACCTGCTTGTGCTTGGTCAGGGCTAGGGTTTGGGGTTTGGGATCAGGGGCTGGGATGAAACAAAGATTGCAAGGGGGATGTCATGGGATGTGTATTCTGTATGGTTTCTGGGAGCTATTTGTTGTCATACATGGAGTGATATGCAGGACAAGTAGAGCTTCAACCTGAAGTAGGGTGCTTGTAACTCCGCTTACAAGAGAATTACTCCAGAAGATCCAAGTGATGATGGAATCGAGCAGGGCTTGAGAAAGGCTAGAGTGCTTCCAGGATTGGGCGAGGTCCACTTATCCATCTTCAAAGAAGTACCGCTTTTCCTCCATCCACATCATGACCTTCTCCTCATGGACTTGTTCATGGGCAGGAGCCTGACACTGGTGCCCAATTGAGCCTCAAAGACGGCTGGACAAATTCCCATCTTGACGTGTACAATCAATCAATAAACTTACAAGGAAGAGGCGCTCAATATAAGCCATAGTCTAAACTCCTCCTATCCCCCTTGATAACCCCTATAGCCCTATATAACCACCCTTTCAGGAGCTTAGACTATAGCTCATATGGGCGTTGGTGGAAACCCTATCATGGACTCTAGTATGCATTTGATACCTTAGTCCTTAACAAATCCCTAGCCTTTTACAGTGGATGCTCCTTTATCCATATGCCCATATGCTAATCCTGCTAATATAAAACCTTATTGTTTGTTTTATTCCTTATCCTTTTACAGTGAATCTGCATAATAGGGCCGCCCGTACTGAAAGTTCTACAACAGGATTTTTAACCAAGCCCGTATGGGGATTCCTAGCAGCGCAATTGCCGAATCCACCCCATTGGTGACGTCCAACCTGTGAATCCGTCATGATTCCGTAGGTGACGCGGTTGATCTTCTGCAGCACATGTGGTAGGAAGATCGACAGCCAGTCTGCTGAGAGGTTCAGCATCTGCACATCCCGCCTCAGACGCCGACGAACCCGAACCCTTGAACACACATCTGGGCTCAGGAATTGTAAAGGCACAATCGCCGGTGCAATCTCTGTATATCCATTCCTGATGGATGCCGTGCACTCCAGAGAAGGCTCCCGCTATAAACAGACAGAATTACACATTTTGCATTCAGTTCTGTCGTACTACCAGATCTTTCCTGTTAGGGAGGCTTATCCCACAGAACATTTCAACCAAGCTGCTTTGGGAGCATCTCTACACGTTTTGCCAAAGGCGAATCTGGCGCTGCGACTTGCCGGATGTACCTGAGTAGTTCCATTGCGCACGCTGGGTATGTGCATATACATATGGAGATCATGATGCAGTACAATCATGACAAAAACAAGAAACCTCCTTATGTGTGTGAGCATTGCTTGCAAGGGCTTTGTGCTATGAACCTAGGCGCTCTCTGACCTCCGCATCGGAAAGGCCGCCATCGATTGTGCCTTCACGCTCGTGAGCGAAGCTACGGCCAACATGCTCGGAAGCCAGCCACAGCGACATCCACGAGCACATCACCTTCACAGGGAAATTTCTCAAAAAGTCCCCTGCCTGCGTCATCCCAATAAGGTACAGTACCCCACAATGCTCACGCAATGCCCGGATATTTCTGGGTCCCCAGAGGACCCCTGTATCGAGACCCCTACCACCCAAGCACCGCGACCAGCCGTCATGCTCAACTTCCTATGACAAGCCTTACGTGGGATGTGTGTGTGTGGATCAGTACATATACGATGCATGGGATCTTCCAACCCTGCTTGTCAGGTAGCAGGAGGACCTTCAGTGCTCAGGGAATGCAAAATTCTCCGCAAACCTCTCGGACGCTTCAGGCTCGCAACTAGTTCTGTACAACCCTGGCTTTGGAATTGGAAGGTTTGTCTTATGGTCGGCGCTAGAAAGTCAGCTGCGTAAAGAAAGATTCGGAATGTCCTCCTTGCTTAAGCTTTAGATGCTTTCGCTGGCTTCATGAAAATGGTATCTCAGGTTGACCTAGACTCGCAAAAAAAATTTTAACACCTCAGATACGGGACATTCAACCAAGACAGGGACCCCTCTTATACCCCAACATACTCTCGTCCTGATGATTGGTTGATCGGCTCACCCGAAAAGAGACTCTGTTTTGGGCACCGCTTTAGCATAAACAACACGAATAGTTTACACTTGGAAGCGAATACTTTATGTGGAAGTTTGCCTTAGCCACTGTGCCCAAGAGGGGAAACTGAGCTGGGTGCCCTTGTCAAAACCAAAAACCTCAGGAAAGGACCCATACCTCAAGACCTTGAACCCTCAGCCGTGCAAATGTGAGCATTTTTGGTGAAATCTCTGGCACCTCCTTGAGCTTTTCCTCGTAGAATTCCAGGTTGAGTAACACCTGAAAGCATAGGATTGAGGGTTAAGGATTCGGCTTAGGGATCAGGATCGCTGAAGGATTATCATTCAAGGTTTAGAGAGTAGCGAGCAGGGTTTGGAGCTTGGGTACACAATAATGTTGAGCCTCCCTGACTATGAAGCTGTGCCCATTTATTTTCCTTTCCCTACTGGCTACCAATCAGTCGTCAGAAGAATGAACTCCAACCAATCTTAAGGCCACCCTTCCCAGTTCCGGCACGCGGGAATGTCTCACTCACAGAGCCTGGCTGAAAGAACTACGACTACAGACAGAATCTGGAGGTATCGAATCTGGAAATACGCATATTTCACCTACGACGAGATGTGTGTTGATAATGATGAGAATTGGGGGGAATAGCCTGTTGAAATGCTGTCAGCGACAAAAATAAAGTCGAGATGAAAATCATACGCACTCCTAAACTCAAAACAACCCTCTGATTCATTCTTCCTAATACGAATGTGCTTACTGTGATTGCCTTGCGGGGGCTTGGGGTCAAAAATTGTATAGGTAACCAACTTGAAAAGGGGCTTATACTGGTCTTATGAAGGGGATATTGAGATTGTACGTTAACTCCAGGGCCACTCAAAGTATGGAGTTCCAGGCAGGCTGCCAGGTGGGGGCTGCGCTGCATCTTCAGCTCCCGCGTGCCGTCTGCCACCGTCTTGGCGATTTGCTTCAGGATGTCCTGCATGCATCAATAGTAGGGGTTTAGGGTCTAAGGTTTAGGGTGCAGGGTTTAGGGTAGAGTAATGGTGATAATAACCGTGATGGTAATGACTAAAATATGGCAATGGTAATGGTAATAGGAGTGGAGGTCCTGCGGGGCAGTTGCAGTTTAGCATATGAGCAACAGTCAATCTTTCCCATGTCATTAATGGATCTGGGTCCTTGTTACGGAAGCTGACATTACTAGGGAGTAGACTAAACTACTAAATGGACCCTATGTCCATCCTTGAGAGCTTAGTGGGCCCTTAGCAAACCTAATATTGACAGCACCTCACGCACTAAGCAGGGCCTCGGCGGAGCATGTGCGGCCTTCTGGACCGTCTGCTAGGACGCATCTACGAAGATGTTGCCAACCCCAACCCCTGTAACAACGACAGGAATATGGTGAGGCAGGATATTTGCTACCAGCAGGGTGGGAGGTTTGTAATTGGGGGAAGGGGATTATTCAACTTTCTCTGCTACTTGGCGACCAAGGGATGGATTCTTGTCAGGGATCCTGGGTTTCCCATAATTGTGGGTACCTTTTTGGGGGTCCCTGTAGTAAGGACTATAGTATTTTGGGGTCTATATTGGGGTACCCTAATTTAGGGAAACTACCAAATATCTGCGAATTTAAAACATCGTCCATTGAACCCGTCGCTTCAGCCGTTGCTGCATACCTCATTTTCAATCCATGCATCCATCCTAAACCCCAAAATCACAGAACCCTTTAGTTCTCATAGTGATTTGTGAGGGCTCTCTAAACATGTGTTATAATCTAAATTCCTAGTATCCCCCTTAATAACCCCCATAGTAGTACCCTACATAATCCCCTATATAACCCCCTTTAGGGAGTTTAGACTACAGTACACATGGCGCAGGGAAACTTGACTCAGGCTGGTTTGCTACTCCAACGTTGAACCCTGAACCCCAGAACCCAAAACCCTAAACCCTAAACCCTAAACCGAACCCACAACCCAAGCTCTAAAGCCGGCATACACCCTCAACCCTAAGCCCTGTGCAGCCGAAATCGTTTTTTGCCTAGAGCCCTAGACTCTGAACCGAAAACCATGGACAGCTAAAACCGGGAAACCCAGATGTTGTAGGTCTCTAAGCCCTACGGTTTATGCTGAAGTCCATTCTTCAAGTCGCTAGGGGTCCCTAAACCCGAAACCCTAGGGCTCCCCAGACCCTGCAGTATATGCTAAAATCCATTCTACAAGTTTCTAGGGGTCCCCCCTAAACCCTAAACCCTAAACCCTGAACCCTAAACCCTAAACCCTAAACCCTAAACCCTAACCCTGAACCCTAGGGCTCCTTCGCCAATGCGCTGTCGGCGAAGCGCTCGGGTGGAGTCAGCTCTCCATCCTTACCCGCCTGGAGCTCGCTGATGAAGATGCCTGCTACAGCCACGCGGTTTAGGGTTTAGGGTTTAGGGTCCTGAATGCTTCGGGATTGGGTTAGGTGGACCCCCCACCCAGTAATAGTGATCATGGATCATGGTGATTGTATTCGGGCGCTCTTATACTCCGCTCTTGTATTCCTATTATGTCACTATTACAGCGGTAAGCCCGATCCTGAGACTTTGCATGCAGCCCATGGAGTTCCAGATTTTAGTGCTTTCGGGTTTAGGCTTCGAGGGTGCGGGCTTCTCAAATCAGGTTGAGGGGTTGAGGGGTAAGGATTTAGGGGTTTGGGGGTTTAGGGTTCAGGGTTTAGGGCTCAAAGGGTTTAGGGTCTAAGACTTTTAGGGACCCGGGGGACACATGGGGGTGACACAGGGAGTAGGGTTCAGGGCTTACTCTGAGTTCCCTGAACCCCTGGCAGAAATTATGCTCTCAGCTGGTTATTAGGGTTACAGATAACAGAAATTAAGAATTGTGTGCAAGGAACTTTCAGTTTAGGATCCCCTGTACACATCATAACGGGTTGTTGTAGGACTTTCGCAGTTGCAGTCATCATGATGGTAATCAGAACTCAGGGCATTGATACCAGCAACGGCTAGTATGAGATTGGGCATCATCTTCAGAACTATGGCTTGGGGTGCTGTCAATATTGCTAAGAAGCAAGGCTTGTTCTGTAGGACGTCCAGCAAAGTAGGTATACCCAATGTCGGCAAGATAACAAATGGAAATCCCAACAGGGCCCCATGTTTCAGCACATGGCCTTCACCAGTGAACTGCATTCAAGTATAGACTAGCTGTGAACAAAAAGGTGTATCTTCTTGATTGGTTTGAAAACACCCTAAACCCTAAACCCCTAAACCAAGAGGAAAATCTACAAGGGATGATCCAGATGCCTTCCAAGAGGTGCCTGAGCACAGCGGCTGCTTTGGGCAAGGGGGGCCGGGGCTCAAGGTTCGGGGCCTCATACTCTTCAGAATGTATCATGGTACTATATTGGAGAAATTGGTTCTTAGGTTATTAGAAGGGGTTACTTTAGAGGGGGTGAGGGGATGGGGGCTATTGGGATTTTGGAAGATTTTGGGGTTGGACGCGTTTGAAAACCTCCTCTTACGAACGAATCAGGTCAACAGCGGCAACTTCCTGCAATCCCGAGATACCGTCATGAAGTCGTGAAGCCATCTCGTGCATTCTCATACTTGATAATTTAAGGTTTAGGGAGGATTGTGGGTTTGGGAAACCCCCACGGAATCAGAACCCCTACTGTAGAGGCCAAAGTAATTGGAGTGGGGTTTGGGGCGCATTGTTCAAGGACTGGCGTTTGGTAGGAATCATCATTGGTAAGTATTCAAGCTTTTACACTACAGCTTACTGGAGGAACGGATCCCAGTAGTCTCTTCATGATGCCAGGGAATAATCCTGATCACCCACTTTTTATCCCCGACTAAGCCCTCAACCCTGAACCCTCAACACTCGGGTAGTTTGATGCTCTTTTTCATGTTCCGTTCCTTCCCTACTGAGTGCCAGGATGTGACTACGTTCTATCAGCCAAGGCGCAGGGGAATCTGCCATCGGTGCGGGGCGAAGTCGATGAGATTCTTGGGCCCAATGGGGAAGTTCAACTCACTCCGTAACGGATGCAGGACCAGGTCCACCTCTGGTTTCGTGGGATTTGGGTTTAGGGGTTAAGGTTTGATTGAGGCCTAGGATTGGAGTCATACCGGGTGTAAGGGTAAAGGTGTAGGATAGCTATTTTTGGTAATGGAGAAAAAGTAAGGTCATAGTCTTCTCCTCGAATGCCATAACAAAAAAGAAAATGCAATCCTACACTCTTGAGGGCTGTAGTTTCCCCATAGAAAATACTACTTACATGAGGCTGGAGGATTTTGAGGGGTTGCATAGGCTGCAGTCTAACGCAGTCGAAACTCCTCAAAGGGATGATACAGAAAAACCCTAAACCCTAAAGGAGTGCATCTCAGGGTTGCTATAAGAAGCCATAAGTAAAGCTTGAGAAGCTGTTTCTCAACGGAGGTCAGGCATACATTCCAGGGGGGCATCCACTCCTGTTGCAAGAAGTAAAGGGACTTTTAATGGGAAACCCATACAGGGAACCCCAAGAATGTTGAAGGAACATAATAGGAATATACCCACCAGGGTCCCTATATTCTATTACATTCCTACTATATTCTTGGGAATCCCTGTTTGGGGTTCCCATTAAGGTCCCCCTAACAAGGGGGGGTGGGGGTTTCATTCAAGGCACGGATCCTGACTTTGAGATGCTAACAGCAGTGGCTTTGTGGCTGTGGGCGGGGTTCAGGGTAGCTGTAGATAGGGTTTAGGGTTTAGGGTTTGGGGTTTAGGGTTTAGGGTTTAGGGCATTAAGGGCATTAAGGGAAATATACACAAGTTCATCGCCCAGAACTCCGAACATTCCGAATAGTGGTGCCCAGCAGACAATCCACATGATGCATGGCAAGACTGTTCTTCACAAGCACAGCAAGATCAAATCAGAAACCATTTGTGACGAGCTTGTTGGAAAAAAGTGCTGCCACACTCCAACTAGGACTCGTACTGCTCCTCCACCTCCTCATGCGGCCCATCGCTCATTATTCCTCCAACTCACACCAGGACGGGTTGGGGCTAGCAAATCCTACAACTCCTGTTAGTACCATGAAAAGGTAGACCAAGGAATTCTGAGGTCTATGCCCCTAACCTCTAAACCCTTAACCCCAAATCCCTAAACCCCTAACCCAGAAGACCTAAACTCCAAATCCCTAAACCCTTAACCCCAAATCCCTGAACCCCTAACCCCGAAACCCCTGAACCCAAATCCATAAACCCCTACACGCCTACACCCTAACCCCTAAACCACTCCCCCTCGGCAGCGCGCCTCGTCGATCATGCAGACACCCTTGGCGAAGATCTCCAGGACTCTGCCCAGCTCGATGGTCTCCTATACTTCGAGGTTCTCGGTGAGTATAACGGATTAAAGAGTCTATGGTTTGCGGTTTAGGGTTTGGGGTTTAGGCTTTGGGGTTTAGTGTTCAGGGTTTAGGGTTTGGGGTTTAGAGAAATTATATGGGTGGTTGTCAAAATTATGGTCCCTTTTTGGATGCCCACTATAATACGGCCCCTCATATTTAGGGTACCCCAAAAAGGGACCATAATTTTGACAACCACCCATATAGAGCTTCTGGAGGGGTATGTAGGGTGTAGAGCAATTGAAGCCCAGTAATGGAAAATCCAATGATAAGGAAAATCGACAATGAAATGGAAACTGGGGATTTATAGGGTATATACAGGAACTCAGGATTAAGTGGCTATAACCCAAGTGCCTATAACCAAATTATAGCCCTACAGCGGACTCAGGGGGCAAATAATTCGGTCACAACTACAATCACAAGTAGCTTTTCATCACCTTGACCCTACGACGGATATTGTAGCGGCCTGTTTATTCGAATAGGGTTATGAAGAAATATTGGCTGTATCCGGATTAGGGGATTCTAGGCTTTCCAGCACCCTGAACCCTAAAGCGAATTTACCTGGGAAGAAAAAGGATCCTTTTCCCATCTCTATAAGGAATCACATACCCCAAACTGCATAAAGAATCCCTAACATTGATCCACTTTAGGGTGCAAGGTTTCAGAGCTCAGGGATTCGGCTTCAGGGGTTTGAGAGTTTCTTCTTCGGCGTACACAAGAGTATACAAGAATTTATTTGATGCAGAGTTTGACGATCAGGGCTTTGGATTTTTCAGCGACGCACCGCATTCGCTTGGGTTCGGGCTGTTGGACTTTAGCGGTTCTAGGCTATGAGGGATTGAAGGTTTGGGGTACCCTTTAAACCCTCAGCCCATGAAGCGCGTTCCAGAACCACTTCCAACCCACTCCAAAAGCTCTCTAGACCGCCAACACAAAGGCTTTTCGATGGCAAAGTCCAAGTCACGGGGCCCTTTTCTGGGAGGCCTGTTGGTGTCTATAATGGGGGCCCCCCTGATGGAAAGCCCATATGCTGGTTTCCCAAAATTAGGAATATGGTTTTTGGGGGTCCCCATAAAAAAGATTATAGTATTTTGGGGTCTACAGCGAGACCAAACTCCCATATTCTTCTGGTTTCAGGCCGTGTGATTTGCACAACTATCGTAACATTATCGTTGCGATCCATGGAGAAGATTGTTGTAAGCGTTCCTACACTGAACATCCGCTGATCCGGAAGTCCTGCACAGCAGGTCTCATACACCTCTACACCCACACTCTACAATCCTAAAGCCTTGGGCACCAATACTTGACCCTGTCTATGAGGACTCTGAGGGAAAGATGATGGCAACTCTTCGGCTTCCTACAATCCCGATAAGCCACCAAATAACCACGTCTCAATTCATCGCACATGCTCTTTCCATTTGAGTGGCTGATCTACTTAAACCCTGAACCCTGAAACCCAAGCCCTGAGCCAAAAAGCCTACACAGATTGAGGCTCATACATTAAACTCAAGCTGTTTCCTTCTGGAGTGCAGCAGTGTTCCGCTTGGAGCGGCGATCATTGCAAATGTCCAGATTCTCCTTGGCAAGCCCCTAAATCCTACACCCTGAACCAAATTTCGGGCTTATAGTAGGAGTATCAGGGAAGCCTTCTTGGGGACTTATGGATTCCTCCTTATGGGGGACCTTGGGGACCCAGTAAGTATACTTATGGCCTATAGCCCCTGGAAGCCATGTAATGACCCCAGCTATCCCCATCGTTAACCTACGTACTAAGTACTAAGTCCCCGTGACCCTCCAACTAGAGGGTATCACGGAAAGCTTTCCTGAGATTTAGTGTGTGGACTTTGGGTGCCAAGATTTAGGGCTCACGCTTTGGATTCAGGGCTTAGGCTCTGGGCTTGTCAGGTCCGTTTTAATTCAAGACGAATAGACCTGCCAGCCAAGGGTCCACAAAGCGAAGGATGAGGCTCTTCACATCTGTCGGCTTGGTAAGAAGAATATGACCCTCGTTCCGGACTGCCTCAGGGTTCAATCTTTAGGGAATATCGGTTTGGGGTGAGAAGCTGAACTTTCTAGGCATGTCAGGCATTCGGTAGGGCACAGGAGAAACCCTAGTTTTCAGGCAGAACCCAGAACAAAGAAACTCAATCGACTCTATATGAAGACTGACACACCAGACAAAGCTAGGGCCTAAGGCCAAACTTTGAAAGTTTAGTAAAGGGATTCTACTGGGAACCCCAAATAGGGAACCCCAAGAATATAGCAGGAATATAATGGAATATAAGGACCCTGGTAGGTATATTCCCATTATATACCTACTATATTCTTGGGGTTCCCTATTTGGGGTTCCCAGTAGAGTCCCTTTATCTAGGTGCATAGGCAATAGACAACACAAGAAACTTGGTGGGGTAACAAATCTCCACCGAACCCTGTGCCAGGGCCTCTATGCGATCGCAGATTGCAATGTCCACATCCTCAGAGCGGTCGCAGTGGAACCTGAGCTTCGGTGAGAGCCTTTGCCAAGAGCTTGACAAGCATATTCCGAAACAATGGTGCGATTCATAAAGATGGACCATAGGATATTGCCTGGTTATAACGTGGGTTTTCCCAACCCAGGTCACAAGAAGCATCTAAAACTTTCTGTGAATCGTCGCAAGGCGGTTGGACGTTGATTCTGAAGCTTTGCAGAGCTTCAGCCAGCTTTCATGCCGACTCGTCATGTTTGAATGCAACAGACTCATCAAGACTGAGTGATCACTCCTGAAGGTCAGGGGCTTCGGGTTTACGAACATGTGTGTGAACAAGGGCTCATAGACAACCAAACCAACTCTCGGACAACTACCCCTCGGCCACCACTGACCTGTGCTCAGTGCCTACCACCCCTGCCCCCTTCCACCAGCCTCTGAAGCTAAATGCCAACCCAGGCACATGCAGATACGTTTCCTCAACTGTTCTTGGAGCAAAGTCCATTCTCATGAGGGCCCTCGAAAGCTCTAAGTGTCGGGTATTCTGTTGGCTTTCGGGGTCGAGGGCCATGAAAAGCTTGAAAACGAAATGGTCGTTCGGAGAACTTTCAAGTGCGCTGACTGTATAAGCACTTGAGGGTTCCGTACTGACATAGACTCTCCAACTACACAGCCTGTCGTTTGACCACATGGCAGACCGATTTTTTTGAAATCTTACTATGAAGTTTGAAGGTACCTTCCACCCTTGTAGAGAAATCAGCCTCCAAGAATACGGACCTCCAGGATGGATCAAAGTCGGCGGGGAGTCCTACTGGAGATGCCCCAAATAAAGCCATGTTGGGACTCAGCAACACGAAGATCCCACGCGGTCCCTTCTCCCCTGAACCCAAAGCCCTATGCAAAACGTCAGATAGCTTACTTCGGGGGTTCAGGGGGGCTCAATGGGTATATGTCTGTATATATGTAGACAACTCATACATTAACCCGAGCAATCCCTATCACTAACCTAGTAAGGAAGTCCCCCTTACCCTAAACCTCAAATACTAGTTTTTACCATCTTTTCCATTTTCCTTTCGATAATTACTGAATACCCCTGACCCTCTTAACCTTATACACAGCTGCGAAGATTCCAGGTGGCCTTCCAAATCCGAACGCTTAGAATTTAGGGTTGATGGTGCTGTAAGCTCTTCAATCCCTAGCTGTAACACCAACTACCTGCAGTTTTACGGGCTACGCCTGCTGATTATGGGATAATTACTACAATGCCGGAAGGTAATGGGGTAGTGTTCCTTCAACCCCCTGTACAATCCCAGTACCCATTTATTGTCCATGTTCTTTTCCATTTGGTTCTCCCTTCTTGAAAAAACCCAATTCTTGAAAACACTAAACCGGACAGTCCTAGATATATTCCGTCTTTAGTAGATAGAATATGGCTTTATGTATATAATAAGATCCTCATATACCCCATATTCTATCTACTTCAGGGGGACTATAAGCCTGTAGAATACCGATAAGTAATTACAGCTTCCTTGGATTGGAGGTTTAGGACTTCGGACCTGAAGTTCTGTGCTTAGGGAGCCTTGGAGCCCCATAATAGACAAAAACATATGGGGTTTCCTGAAATTGGGGCTCCCTTTTCGGGGGTCCCAAGTATAAGGATTATAGTATTTGGGGGTCTATATTGGGGTCCCCCTATTTTGGGAAACTACCATATAGGGTTTAGTGTTTAAGGTTACCCTTATTGAGGGCAGCATGTTAATGCAGTTGCAAGATTAGGAGGCGGGTGCAGCATTCAAACCAAATCTCAACCCCAGCCCCTCATATCCCTAAACTCAAAAACTAACAAAATCCTAACTTCCTATCTTCCTCAACCCCTAAAACAACCTAAACCCTAAACCCTTAACCGACTTAAACCGTTACAAGCTTCTGGATGATGGAGGAAAACACGGCCATGAGGACCCCTCTGCAAAACTCCAGCAGCGCCGAAGGGACCACCAGGCTGACGAGGCGCTTGCCTGGCTGCTTACTTGGCTAGGGTTTAGGGTTTA